CAGTCATTTCCTTCTTTAATGGAAACAAAGTTGTATATTCTTCCTAAATCTATTTTTTTACATATCTTTATTTAATTGAATTGGTCAAGAAGACTTAAAATTAAAACTAAGGGATACATATTCTTGATTGTGAACTTATTAAGTCCTCAATAGTCTATGCACATCCACTAAGATCTATCTTTTTTCTTCACAAATAAAATTGGAGTTCCTACTAGAAATTTTAAATGACATATGAAATTTTTAGGTAAGTTCTTATCAATATATTTCTTTAGTGCAATCAATTCATTTTGAGATAAGTTATAGATGGATTTGAATGGTAGTTGAATTCGCTCTCATAGATTAATTTTACAATCATAGAATCAATTCTTTAAAAGAATATCTGCATTCTTCTTTTGAAAAATATCTTGAAAATTTCAATACTAGTTAAGAATACTACTTCACGTCTTTTTACTATTGAAAATAGATGTAGCATACATAGCAAAAAATGACCCTTCTTTTGTCATATGTGTGAAGGTTCTTGCATCTATCAAGAAGAGTTTTAATATATTAAGCTTATCTAATTTTATTTTACTATTATTATTTTAAATTAAATTATAGAAATAATTAAAATTATAAAAAATTCAATTTATTTGAAGGTTATATTTTTTTAATCACAATAATTCCAAAATAATTGGATTGAAGGACGATCTTATTGTATTAAATATTATTGTACTATTATGATCTTTAATTGTTACATGTAAAAGAAAAAATTCTTTAATAATGTCTCCAAAAGACAACAAACAATCATTTATGACTTCTACATGTATGAATTTAGTTTTCTTGAGTAAAGATATTTCTTATTTTTTTGATAAAGTCTTTATATATAAAACAAGCTAAGTCTCTGAAATCTAATACTGTAAAGATTTTGTGATTTTCAAGTCCTAAAGACATATCTATTATAAAACAATGTGAGGGATCCAAGGAAAAAATATGATCTTTATTAGGTATTGCACATGATTCTAGCCGTACGATCTTTATTATAGCTAGAAAAACTCATTTTTTGACACATTTCTTCTTTGGCAAATATCTTTCTTATTTTGTATTTAGATTGCTTCTTTAAAAAATATAAAACAATATGTTTAACTCGTCCACAATATAAGCACAAACCTTCTTAATAATGTCAAGAATTTTTTTGCTTAGTGAAGGATTTAAAGTGTATTGTTTTAATTTTCATTGATTTTTATTTTGATGAATAAGTTTCTAAAAACTTGGAAGCTATTGTCATTACTTAGTTTATTCCTCGCGAGCCAAATCTTTGATCTTGAAGCCTTTCAAATAATCAATTGTCACATGCAATGGCTTGAGTAATAAATTATTTTAAAGATTTTTTTTTAACATATCAATAATAAATCTTTGACGTCATCTTTCAATCCATATCAAAATTGATTGATAAAGGCTTTGTCATTTTAGTCCATATTGCAAGCAAGATTTTAGAATTTATTAGCATATATGATAGCTTATTGTAATCCATGTTGTAAAAATAAGAGATTTGTCTTTGTTATTCTTTTTCAATCACTATCTCCAAATGTAGCCATAAACTGCTTGGAATGAATTCAAATCATAAAGGAGTTATAAATCTTTTTTTTATTAATAATATAAATCAAAAAAGTATACTTTTAAATATAAGTGTGCCTGTGAATCCAACTTGAGTTAGTCCATCAAGGTATTAGAAGGAATGCAACCTTAGATAGAGCTTAATTTGTTGCAAAAATCTTCAAAATTTTGATCTTGTTGCATCAAATTTATTGGGCATACTAATTTGTGTATCCATCGTACTTGTAGAAGTAAAATTTCTTAAATTTGGTTGTGATTTTGATCTACATGATTCTTTTAATTATACAACTTCTTGCCATAAATTTTGAACTTCTTTTATAGACATAGAATTATTGTTTCTATGGTTGGTACTAGTGATGTGTGAAATTTCTACTCTAAAAGTATTTATATATTCATGAAGATCTACAATAGTTGCAAATCTATTTTTATTTCTTCCAAATATAATATCTATGATTTTTTCATCTATTTCAAATAACTTGATAAATCCTCAAGTCAATTAAAAGAGAATAATTTACAATGTCTAATATTGAATGAATTTTTTTATAAAGAAAGATAATTAGTTCTATTTAAAGAAAAAATTGGTATTAGAAAAATAAATAATTTATTTGAAGGTGGATAATTTGAAACCTTTAAAACACAACAATAGAAGTGGAGTTATTCACTCACTTCTAAAAGCAAGAACAATAAGTTAGTACTCTTGTCAAATTAGCAAGGATATAAATATCTAAGAATTAAAATGTCAATACACTTTTGTGCCACTTAAAAGACTAAAAAATCATTTAAAGATGATATAATATTAAACTAGAATGACTATTACTAAAAACAAGAAGACTAGAAAGTCTTAAAACACGACTAAAGACTAGAAAGGCATTCACAAGAGTAAAAAATACTTCTTTTCTGCCTCCATATATACTATTAACTAGAAGCTATGTAGAGATGTCTTATAGAATCTTTAAAAAGTATTGACTTTACAAAACATGTATCTTAACTTATAAGGCAAGTTTTCTATATGTATACCATATAGTTAGCTTGCTCCACAAGCTACCAACATGTGATTAACTTGTTGATCAAGTTTCTAATCTATCAATCAACTACAAACACATGTAAAGTTAAAGCAATATCTATGAAGCTTCTAAGAAGCATCTCTAAAAAATATTATGAAATAAATCTACTTTTATCTATTTTTACTTCATTATATAAATAAATATTAGAATAAATATATATATATATCCGTAACAACATTTTGACTTTGCATAACATGTATCTTAACTTATAAGGCAAGTTTCTTATATGGGTGCCACATAGTTAACTTATTCTCCAAGCTATCAACATGTATCGCATGTGATTAATTTGTTGACCAAGTTTCTAACCTACTAATTAACTAAAAATACATATAAAATCAAAGTAATATCCATGAAGCTTCTAAGAAGCTTTTTAAAAAAAATATTGTGAAATCAATCTACTTTTAATTACTTCTACCTATTTATATTACTTAAATAATAAATATAATAAATATATGTTTGTAACAAAGAAATAAAAAATTTAGAATAATGTCAAATTTAAATATTTTAGCACAATTTTTTATGCCAAATGAGTTTAAAATGAACAAATATTTTAAATTATGGAATTCCAATTTGTAGATAATAATATCAATTCAATAAATTTGGCATTCTAGTAGCAATAAAATAATACAAACATGAAATATGAATCTTTGATGATTTTATTCTTTGACCCCAATCCTTCTATAACACACTATTATCATCATATGCTATTTTTTACAAAAAAAAAAAAAGTAATTTATAAATAATTAATTAAGTTAGATTTTATAGATAAAAATTTAATTATTTTTAAAATTTTAATTTCTTTTTTCAAGATATAGATAATAAAATTATAAATTTAATTAAATAATTAATTATATAGTCTTATAATATTTTTTTATTTAGAAATTTTAATAAATTATATATATTTTTAATTTTATTATATATGACTTATATATGATATAAAGTAATATTATTTTTAAAATATAAAAATATATTAAATAATTATATTTTTATTAATATATTAATATTTATATAATTTTTTTAATAATATAATATAAAATTTAAGTAATATAATAATAGTATAATTATTTTGTATTCATTTACTAACTAAGCATCAATACTTCATTAAATTAGCTATATATAAAATACTTGATTTGCAATAGTCTTCAAAATATGTCTTAAAATTTTTCATAAAGTAATAAAACATCTTTAATACTTTGAGATATGATTATTGAATTCTATAGATATTTTTAAAAAATATATTATAATTATTATTATTATTAAGTTAATATATATTTATATATATATATATATATATATATATATATATATATTGCAATTAAAAGCTTAAATTTGATAATAGTATTTTTTTAAAAAAATATTATAAATTTTATACTTATTAAATTTATATTTAAAAAATATCACCTATAATATTAAAAAAATTAGGGAAAAAAATTATGTATATATATATATATATATTAAATGAATAAAATAAATGGAGATAGATTCATACTATTTTGTATTGATGCAGGGTAGTTGGAATTCTTCAAATTATGTGTGGATTTTTATGAGCATATCTGAAACTGATGTCCTTGTTGCAAGTAACAAATTCAGGAGTTGGGTGCAATAAAGCTTTTAAGAGATGACATTATATTGTGGTTTTTTCCACAAGTTGAAAGGCACATATATTTCTAAGCAAAGTTTTGAAGGTTTATGCAAGTCACCAAATCAACTCAAGAGTTTTTTTAGAATAAAAGAATATAATTAGAATTCCAAGTGCAATTATTACGTGAAAAATTAGATAGAAAAAGGCTAGATATGAGCAAAATAGTGTTAATAGAAAAAATATGATTAATATAGAAAAATCTTGTGGAGATTTACATATAAAAAGCATTTTAGAGGGCCATAAAATTGGCATAAAATTGGCATCAATTATAGCATCTTAAAAGCATGTAAAAAGAATCCAGAACCTTCAAAATTCTAGTATGTACGACCCAAATACTGTTGTATACGATCTGGATATGTAGTCGATATAGGACTGAATTTCATATGGAGTATGAATGCCATACAGTATGATATATGAAGGTAAAATACAAGTCTAGCATATAATGTAGCATACGGTTTAAAAACACAGCAGAGTATATAATAGCTATACCATAGAATATATGGTAGGAAATATGGTAGAAAATACTACCCAATATACGATCTGATTTTTAGTCCAGTATATTGTCCAGCCTTCAGTGGCTTGTAGGATTTCCGGGTATCAACCAAGCGGTATCCGACGGATGAGATTGGGCAACGGGCCTCATTGCCGATAGGGGTCTAGGCCGCCCCGGACCCCCTCTCCCTTTTCCTATTATTTTTTTCCTTTCGTGGTTTGAGCTCCGACTTCGACAGAGCTGTTTTCGGTATTTTTTTCCTGTGATGGTCTTGCAAAGTGCTGAGCCCGGACTACATTCTCTTTTCCCTCTTCGCTGCGGTGCAAAAACGGTATTGCTGGCAGTTTGTTAGGCAGTGCCTGTGTTGAGAAACTGCAACTGCTAGTGTTTTTTTTTTCTTCTCTTGTTATTTGTTTTTTTCCTGATTGAAGTGCCAAAGCGGGATGGGCGCTGGTAGTATTGGCGACTGCCGTGCGGTGTTGTTGCTGTTCTTGATACGATTGAGATGTGTCAAAGCGAAGTAGCGGTGCTCCCCTCGGGCTCCGTCGTCGCTGCCCCTGCGACCTTCCCTCGACCTGTGTCGAAGACAAAGAGCCACCCCAAGATCCCATTCGCATTCGTATTCTTATTCCCATTCCCTTTCACGTTGATGGTGGGTTCAATTTTTGCAAAGATCAGGCCGAGCACGTCAACAACCTGTTCAGCATTGCTCGGACTATCGCGAAGGAACTCGTTGGAGCCGTCTTTAGTGGCTGCTTGATCCAGTTTTTCATTGAACATTAGTGTTCCTCGAGCTGATACAGCATCGACACTGAGGTGTGTTGTGGTGGTTGATTCCAGTTTTTGTTGTTGCTAGTGGTGCAAATCGAGCCGGTTCCTGCGTTTTATTGGAATCTCTAATCTTGTTGCTGTTGGCGTTCTAGAGTTATTGTGGGGAGCTGCGATGAAGAGTGGCTAAGGTAGTTGGTGGTCGAGTTGCGGGTCAATTTGCATTGTTTCAATTGGTTGTGGATGTGCGACCGCTGGTGGCCTTGTAGCTGTGGAGAAACTAATAGGTGTTCATTTTAATTGTCGAAGTATATTAAAAATGCAGATGGTTTTTTGAGCTACAGCATGATGTTGCTTGGAACTTACTGGTTCCGATTGCAAGAAGCGCTGTACTGGGGTGCGGCGGATGAGCAGACAATCCATCCTCCTATGATTGCTAGCTCGTTTAATCTCATCGATTTGAACTGAACCAAGTGTTAGGCTGGCAACGTCCAATTAATTCGTGAACATCGACAATCACATAAGTGTCATGGGGTGATTTCTCTTGCTGCCGAGTACTTGCGCATTTAGTCCAAATGTTCTCGTGAGGAGTAATTTCCTTCTTCTTCGACGTTGTGATATACCAATCTCAAGAATTGCTAGTCTTTCAACCGGAATACAAGTTTAGAAGTACTATCATAGAAGTCTAATCGTGGCAGCTTTGATCAGTTTTTGAGGATTTCATCACCTGGTTTCGACATTAGAGAAGATCAGCAAGAAGTCACAGAGGGAGCGTGAAGCTTGCAGAAGGGAATCGCATCTCACAGGTTTTGAATTAAAAATTGTTATTTATCGATTGTTAATTGAATTACATTTATCAAATCAACTTGAGCCAAAATTTGTAATTGACAAAACAATTAGGGATATGGACGAATTAGGTTAAGATAGATGACGTTAGGTCTTGAATGGATGATCTTTCTAATTGGATGAAAATTTGATAACTATTAATTGGATGAAAATTTGATAACTATTAATTGGATGAAAATTTGATAATTATTAATTGGATGAAAATTTGATAACTATTAATTGGAAGAAAATTTGATAACTATTAATTGGATGAAAATTTGATAACTATTAATTGGATGAAAATTTGATAACTATTAATTGGATGAAAATTTGATAACTATTAATTGGATGAAAATTTGATAACTATTAATTGAATAAAAATTTAGATGATTATGAATTTTAGATGATCATTAATATTAGTTAAAAATAAAATTAAAAAACATATGAAGTTAAAATTGAATCATATTAAAAAATTATCTTTCAAGTATGTGGTTTTTGAGTTAATTGAATGCCTTGTGTTGTGAGTGTGTGAGTGGTTTTTAACTAAGTTAAGAGGATTAAGAATTTAAGATGAAATAAAAAACAACTTAAGTAATCAAATTATAAGTTAATTAATAGTTGTGAATTAGAATAGATCACCTATTAGAAAAATTTATTTAAATGTCAATTAGAGAACTATTAGAATTGTTGGATATAAATCAAATACTAATTGGAATTTATTACATTCCTTAGATAATTAAATTTTTGTGAATTAGGATAGACTTCCAACTAGTGGAGGTTTACTTTATTTCACAATTTATAAAGTTTGATTTTGGTAGTTGGAACAAAATTAGAGATGTAAGGTTTTAGAATGAAGTGTAATTAGAGAGTAGTAGAAATTGTCAAAAAATGTCATAGATAGGATTAATAATGCTAGATATATAGATGTTACATTTGTAGACGGAACTCAAGCATATGTATCAATAAGTTATGGATCAATAATAATTCAAGGAATTGATCTTTCATAAAGAGGCTTGGAGATACAAGCATGCAGAAGCTTTGTTTTGCATAGAAAAACACAAGCATTACTATTGATTGAATCTTGTTAATTATCATATTCATAGAAATAAATTCTTAATAAAAATTATTGTAAATAGATGAAAAATCTTTACTTATTGATAGAATTATTGTCTAAGTTGTGCTCTTGAGTATGGTATTGACAAGATATTAAGGCAATTATGCACGAATTAGCTGCCAACCTACTAAGATTATAATATTTTTTAAAATTAGAATTAAGTCTATCATATTCATATATATTGTCTATAAATTTGGTAGATGGTACAACGTAAACATGAAACAAAGGTGAAAAGATAATTTTGAAGAAATAAACAAGATGAATCAAAGAAAAGATTTTAAGGAATATATAAAAATAATATATACTCAACTCATTATTATTATAAATAATACAAAATATAAATATACTAGTTGAGATCTTTTATTTTTAGATCTCAAAATAATAGTATGACATGGATCTAATTATAGTTTTTATCCATAGATGAATAGAAAGGAATAACAAAGATATTATTATATTTCCAATATCTTATCTTGATGCAAACTTCACATCAAAGAAAAGTGGCAAAAATAGTGTTTGAAATAGCATAAGATTTTTACTATGGTAAATATTAGACATCTCTATATTTTTTATTTTTATCAATTCAAAAAAAAGATGGTGAAGATATAGATTGATGAAGAAACAATTTGGATTACTTTTCATATTTTGTCACTTTACTAAAGAAGGTACAATAACATGTAGCATTAGTTTTTTAGAAGTGCTATGATATTTATAAGGAAGAATTACATTGACAAGAGACAAAGAAGTGGCACTACTTATTTTTGAGGGTGTACTATTGTGTTTACTAAGACAAGTCACCTTTATACAAAAAGAAAATAGGTGAATTTGCACACTAAGGTATGTTACATAAAAGATGAAATTATATTTATATTCTAGGTTTTAAAAAGTATGGCCATGGATGAATTGTGTATTAATAGAGTTGTATAAAATTTATATTTTTGTAGTTCCAATTGTATTGAAAAGTTTGTGTTTAGACAACTTTGAATATTCAAGCTTTAATCTATTGTATTAGGTGTTACGATTTTATTTTGCTACGAAAAAGGAAAAATTTGATAGTATAAGTGGTCTTGTATGCTCAAATAGATCATGTGAGAGACATGAGGAGGAGATTGCTTGTATAGATTCTTATGAGGTTGTTTTGCTAGGATTGTCTTCAAATTATTGTGATTATTTTTAAGATGTTGATATAGGTTTTTTGAGGTTGATAAACTATGTATGTTGGAATATTAATATTGCCTTTGTGCTCAATTATGGTTAAATGACAAGTAAATTTTTTCCAAGTCTATGAGCTTCTATGAATAATGATTCTTATAATAATAATTTTGAAGTGGAAAAAAAAATGAAGACAAAAGATTAAAAGAGAAAATTGAGAAAGAATTAAAGATGTTTATGATAGAAGAGTGGATATTATTGAAGGAGATTAAAAAATCAAGAGAAGCAACTATCACAATCATATTTAATTATCTAAAAATAAATTATTCGATAGATAATAAATATATATATATATATATATATATATATATAATTATATCTTATGGCATAGCTTCTTAGAAGCTTCATATATGCAAATTTGACTTTAATCATGTTTGTAGTTGATTAGTAGGTTAGAAGTTTGTCTAAAAAGTTAGTCAAGTATCACATGTATTGGTAGCTTGTGGTATAAGCTAACTATGTAGCATACATATAAAAAACTTGTCTTATAAGTTAGACATGTATCTTATAAGTTGGATACATGTTAGAGGTCCCATAGAATATCACCATGTATCTCCTAGTTAGATAGTATATATATATATATATATATATATATATATATATATATATATATATGGAGTCAAGAGTAAAGCCTTCTTCATTCTTATTGTTGAAATCTAAATCCATGCTTATAACATGGATTGGAATAGTAAAGCCTTTATCAATTAATTTTGATATGAATTGAAAGTTAATATTAAAGATTTATTATTAACAATGCTAAAAGCAAATTCATTGGAGTAATTTATTATTGAAGTCATTACATGCTACAATAAATTCTTTAAAAAATACCAAGAACAAAGATTTAATTAGAGAGATACAAGTCAAGTTATGGAAATAATTTCTAAGTTAAGAGAAGTTTATTTATCAAGACCAAAATTTATGCAAATTGATATAATATGTTTTAAGTTTTATACTATGCAAAAAAATAAAAACTCAACATTGTTAAGAATAATTATAATGATATTGTAAAGAACTTAAGCACATTTCTCAATATTATTCAAAAAAATAATATAATTATAAAATAAAGAGTATGATTGCTAATGATAATAATGTATTATAAAAAAGAAGTATTTCTAGCTATAATATAGACTTTGTGGTTGGAATCTTGTGCAATATCTAATACAAGTCTTATTCTCTTCTTAAATCCCTTACCTTATTTTACAATAGAAGTTTGTTTAGAACCAAAAAATCACAAAATCTTTGCCTTGTTAGATTGAAGAGCCTCACTTTATTTCAAAAATAAAGATTTTTTTAAAAATTGAGAAATATCTTTAATTAAAAAAAATAAACATATACATGCAAAAGTCATAGATGGTTGTTTACTCTTCTTCACAAATATTATTTATGATATTTTTTTTAATGTAGAAATTAAAGATCATAATAGCTTAGTAATATTTAATATCATTAAATTTCTCTTTAATTTAGTTATTTTAAAACTATTATAGTTAAAAAAAATATATAAATCGCAAATAGATTAAATTTCTTGTAACTTTGACTTTTTTAAAGCTTAATCCAAAATTTTGATAGTCAAGTAAAAATCCATAAATTTAATACAACCAAACCCTTATTGATAGATGTAAGAACTTTCATATATGCTACAAAAGAAGGGACATCTTTTGCTATATAAACCATACTTATTTTTCATAGTAGAAAGATTTTAAGTTGCACTCTAAGAAAATATCAAGTTTATCAAGATATTTTTGACAAAATTAATGCAAATATTCTTTCAGAGCATTATCTACATGATTATTCAATTAATCTTCAAAAAGTTTTTCAACTACCATTTAGACCAATCTATAGCTTATTGTAGAACTAATTGGTTATACTTAATAAGTATATTGACAAAAACTTGATTAAAAACTTCATAGCCTATTTTAAATTTTCAACATGAATTCTTATTTTATTTACAAAAATAAATAAATAAATAACTCTAAATATATGTAGACTATGAAAAATTTAATAACATCACTATAATATATGTATATATATATATATATATATATATATATATATATATATAAACTTTTAATTTCAAGACTTCTTAATTAATTGAATCAAGTAAAGATCTATATAAAAATATAACTTGATATGCATAAAAAATAGAGATGAATGGAAGATTGAATTTTGAATTAGGTATAGACATTTCAAATATAATGCCATGTCTTTTGAACTTTTAAATGCACTAATTACTTTGGAACATCTAATTAATAATATTTTTAAAGAATTTCTTAATTATATTGTCACTTGTTATTTAAAAGTCATAAGAATCTTGAGTATTTTATATTTTATATATGGCATACTAGTCTATTCTATAAACACCTTTTTAAGCTAATTACGGTTTTCATCTACAATTTAATACTTTTGACTTTTTAAAAGTTAAAAATCCTACAGCAAAAAATTTGGCATATTTTTTATCAAAGATATATGCAGCAATGAAGGCATAAGTAAAAAAAAGCTCAAGAACGAAAAAAAATCAATATGGATGCCTATTATAAGAACAACATTAATTTAACTTTAGTAACAAGATATAATTACTTTGTTATAATACCAAAACTATTCACTCTTATAATAAAATTGGAAAGAATCTAATAACAATAAGATATACTAGACTAACAGTTCAACTACAAACACAAGTAGTTCTTCAAAAAAAGTGTATATAAGTCAGACTACTCAAGCTATGCAAATAAGCATTTTCAAAGTTAAATAATTGTATTTTTTTTTCTTTTAAAAATTTATAAAAACTAAATAAAAAAATTACCAATACATTATTCTTAAAGAAGATAATAGTATTGAATTAAATAAGAAAAGATGCAATTTTGACAAAAATATCATTTTTTTTTGGTTTAGATTTTTAAAAAGAATGTAGATAGAAAATTTAATGCTTAAAAGAAAGAATTGATTTGATTTCATGATATTTCCTATGTGATATTTACTACATAACATCAAAATACCTTAAAGGAACAACTTGAGGTTTTTCAACTATCTTAGGGGGGTTTTTTTTGGATTTTTTTTTAGTAAAAAAATAAAATTGTGATGAGCTCCAAAAGAATAAATTACAAATGGTTTAATTGATATAAAATTTCAAAGAACTTTACACTTTGAACCCTTGAACCAATGCATGGACTTGGCCAAAACCATCCATAAAAATATACTATACTACCATCTCCATCACATTAAACCACTAACTTCATCCTTGTAAATTTTGCCAATCATTGGTGGACTTGGGATGGATTTGGAATCTTTTTATAGGAAAAATGGTAGTTTTTGGATTTGTGCAAGTGCGGCTTCTAACAAGGTCTATGAGCTGGTTACATGCATGATATAGTTTAAGGTATTTCCACATTACAAGCACCAAACTAAAAATACTTCACAAGCACAAACTGAAATCATGACTTTCCTGAAAGTCCCAAATAATCTTAAACCGGCACTTCCAAAGGGCTCTTATTTAGGCTTAATGGTAGTTCAGGCACAAAGCCTAAATAAGAGCCCAATAACAGTTGCATCCTCAGCTTGTTACAGATGTTAATTTATTGAAACAATTCCTTGCTCAATTGAAAGTAAACACGAAAGTTGACAGCACAGAAAACCACCTTTGAAAATACAACAGCTTAGACTCCTAAATACATACCATGCCTAGGAGACCAATCACACACTGCAAAATCGCCACGTGTACCTCCTCTTACCGACACGAAGCAGGAGACATGGCAGCCATGGCCCAGCATGGGCATTGCCCGGGTAGCGAACGGTGGTGCCCACGTCGTGAATCACCAGCAGCCCAAGGATAGGCACAGTTGGTGGGTGCCGCGGTGTGACGCGGCAACGGCCATGGTATGTGGACGGGATAAAAGAGGGAGGGAAGAAGACGAAGGAAGGGGGTCAGACGACGAGCGAGAAGAAGGGCAAAGAGAGGGACGACGCAGGGGACGGACAGGGCAGGGCAGG